GCCAGCTCTGTCCCTCCTCCGGCTGCACCCTCTCCCCTGTGGACGCAAACCCCTCAGGTCTTCCCTGTCTGTCCCCTCCTGCACGCCCCCTCCCCCGGCTCCTGCCCACCTAACGCTCCCTCCTGAGTGCCCGGAAGGCCCAGGCCCCGCCTGTCACCTGGCTCAGGCTGCACCGGCAGTGCTGGGGGAGGGGCGGTGGCTGGGCAGTGGGAGACCAAGGAGCCCCACCAGCCAGCCACGGCCCCGCCCTGGAGCGGGACCTGAGGCCTCCAGCCAGCTGCCCGCCCAGCCACCCCCCCCCCAGGTGTCCAACAGCTGCAGCCACCTGGGCCTCGGCCGCCTCTGTCCTGTCCCGGGCTGACCCCGTCCCCCGGAAGCAGCTCTGTCCTCACCCACACGGATCGGCCTGAGAAGCCGACCATGGCCTGCTCCCCAGCAACCCCGCCACTGACCCCATCAGCGACCCCATCAGCAACAGTTCTGCCCGCACCCAGCCTGGCTACCTCTGCCCACGAGGTCCCGGCACGTGGCTGGGCCTTGAAGCCTCATGGCTGAGCCTCCAGGGTCAGGCGGGACCAGGCCGGGCTGGGTCAGGCAGGGTCGGGCAGGGTCGAGCAGGGCTGGGCATGGCTGGGCAGCATTGGGCAGGGTTAGGCGGGGCTGGGCAGGGCTGGGCAGGGCTGGGCAGGGTCAGTGGTGTCAGGTAGAGCCAGGCAGGGTCAGGCAGGGCCAGGCAGGGTCAGGCTGGCTCCGGCAGGGCCAGGCAGGGCCAGGCAGGGTCAGGGTGGCTCGGGCAGGGTTGGGAGGGGCCAGGCAGGGCGGGCAGGGTGTCCTGCTGGGTAGGGGAGGGTCACTGCAGGGCCCGGGTCTGAGGAGCAGGAAGGGGACATCCCACCTGGTTGTGCAGCCCTGGCCGCCAGCACACCTAAGGCTCGGGCTCACCAAAGGCCACGCGCTTTGTGGGCGGCAAAGCCAAGAATGGAAGCCGCTGGGCAGGACCCCAGATCCGAGCTTCTGGCCAGGTGGAGCAGACCCAGCTGAGCGGGGGTGGGGGCTCCTGCAGGGAGCCTGAGTCGGCAAAAAGCCGCAGCAGTGGGCGGGGCCACAAGGTCGCTCCTCCCTCCCCTCAGCGCCCATGGGGTCCCAGCAGGGCCCATGGACTTGGGAGGAGCCCACCCCTCCTGGGAGCCCAGCGAGTGTGGGAGGGCTCGCACACACACGCACACACACACACAATGTGTGACCAGCAGACAGCCGTGCACAGGACTTGGGGGGCACCAACACCAGGGGGGCACGAGGCTGGGCAGGAGGAGCAGCCGGCACCCCAGGGGACCCCTGCAGACAGCACCAGAGACGGGCAGGCCCAGGGATCTCAGCTCAGGGCGTGTGCCCTCGGGCAGGGGGCAGGACAGATGCCCGAGACCGTTTGGTGGTCAAGCCCAGGCCTGTGTGACTCAGACCACGGGCAGAGGCAGCCTGGAGGCGAGGCGGGGTCTGAACAGTCAGGGTTCTGGGCACTGTGGCCCCAGGTGACTGGGGCTTTGGAAGGAGAAACGAGAACGTCTTAGGGGAGACTTGGTGAGGGTGGGGGAGTCAGGAGAGCAAACCCCGGAATCTCTGGGCGGATTCGGGTGTGCAAGGAGCCAAGCACGCGCCCCAGCCAGCCGCCGCCCTGCGGTGCTTGGAACCGAGAGACCCCAGTTCCCAGGTCTCTGAACTTTCCAGTTTCAAAACCTGCGCCTCCCCCTGCCACCCACACCCACGATGGTCGCTCCCACCTCGCCAGGCCGGCAAAGGGCCTCCGGGTGTCAGCATCGGCCAGACCCCACAGACGCTGGGGGCCGCTCACTCTCCAGCCTCAGCCGAGCGCACAGGAGGCCGCAGCGACGTCCCAGGAGCCCAAGCCGCACACAGCGGAGGCACTGACCTCGGCGAGGCGTGGAGACAGCCGTGGTCACTCACGCCGGGGACCTGGCACGAGCCGTGCTGACTCTCACAGCCGAGGACCGAGGCTCAGCCGCTCGCTCTGCCTTCCCGGAGCCCAGAGTCGGGGCGCGGAGGACAGGGCTCGAAGCCACCCCTCCCCCCGCCCCGGTGGAAGCCACGGCCTCAGCCTCTTCCCAGTCTTCCCGGTGGACACAGCCCACGGCTCGGGAGCTGGCCGAGGGCCAAGGAGGGGCCTGGGCGCGGATGCTGAGGCCCGACAGGTCTGGAACGCCGCCCAGGGCTCCACCAGCGGCCCTGGCGACGCCAGGTGTCCGGGCTGGCAGGCGGCTCCGCCAGCACGTGCGCATGTGTTGCTCTATTTTTAACAATCCCCTTGGAGCGCCATACGTCCCGGAACGGGCGCCATTCCACGCCGCTAAGCTGTGCACGCGGTGTGTCACACAGCCCGGCGTCGCCCCTCACCCACCTGTAGCCTCGCAGCGAGCCAGCGCCTGCCAATCACGCGCGCAGTGAACGCGGCAGGCAGCGCCGGGCGCTGAAGTGGCCTCGTTCCGAGTTTAAGTCTTCACACCTCAGAAGCAGGGCAGGAGCGCTGCTGGGTGCGTCCTGGCTCCCCCGCTTCCTGCTCCCGGCTAACGGGGGGGGGGGGCAGCAGTGAGGGCCCAGTGCTTGGGCCCCGGTGGGGGGGGGGGGCTGGCTGGCGTCCCAGCCACCTGGGGAGTGGACCAGCGGATGGAAGCCCGCTTGCTCGCTCTCTCGCTCTCTCTCTCTCGCTAGCTCTCTCGCTCTCTCTCTCAGGTCTTTGGAAGAACGCCGAGTGAGCAGCTCTCTGGCACTCCTGCCCGGGAAGCCCTGGGCTCAGCGGACAGGACGCAGGTTCCTGCGGGCGCCCCCAGCCGGGCCCCAACCCACCAGGTGCCGCCTGTGTCCCAGGCAGCAGCAAACGGGGTGTCCACTCAGGCACCCCTTCTCGGTGGGTCTTCCGATGCGACTTCGGCTCTGGGCAGATACCTGCTCTCTGGGTAAGAGCACACGGCCGAGGGGAGCCATCCCCCCCACAGGCTGGCTGCCCTCAGCCCACACCCCGCCGGGCCCCAGAAACACAGAGGGCCCTGGCCAGCAGACGCACACGGACACGGCCGTCTCCCCCCCCACACACACACACACAGGCGGTGTCAGTCCCCAGGGCTCGCTGCCAGACCTGGAGCAGCTCACGGCGCGATGCCCACTCCCCAGAGCCCGCGCCCCCAGGGCTGGGCCAGGCGTCAGGGTGCAGGGCCGGATGCGGCCTGGCCACCAGTGTGTCCGGGCTGCCGCGCAGCCACACAGCAGAAGGCTCCGGCTCCCCGGCACAGAGCAGCCAAGCCATGGCTCTCGGCGAGCCCGCATGGGGACCCTCCACCCACCCTGCGCAGAGCAAAGCCTTCCTAGGTGGTTAAAGCAAACGCCTTTCACAATATTTGTGCTAAGTTGCCTTTTATGTTCCTAAGCTCCGAGGCCGCCTCAGAGAGACACCCAGAAGCCCAGCTTAGCCGAAAGGTCAGGGTGTGCAAACCAAACAGCGTGCCGGGGCAGCCGTGGAGACGGTGGCGTGCCGGGGCGGCCGTGGAGACAGTGGCGTGCCGGGGCCTCTCCCTGCCCTCCTCTTGGGCTCTGCACACAGGTGCCCAGGCGGCCCGGCCCACGGTCAGGGGTGGCCACGGGAGCCACGAGGGCATGAGCAGTGGTAGTGGGCTCCGTTCAGCACCACCACGTCCCGGGTCAAGGACACGCGGGGCCCAGTCCCAGGCCTGCTCACTTCCTGTGTCTCCCGGACAGCGAGTCCAGGGTACCCTGGCGGGGACCTGGGGGCAGCTTGTGGGACTCGAGGCGCGCCCTCCCACCCAAGGCTGAGCTCAGCCCCTTCAGTGCCGCCCACTCCCCGAGGCCCCCGGAGAGCAGCCCTGCCGGGGGAGCACCGCTCTCGGCTTCTCCCACCCCACAGCTGACGACGGGGCACAGAGAAGCTCAAACACTCCCCAGGCCAGGGCCGCAGGGCCAAGATGCAAACCACCTCTGCCAGCCTCTGGAGTCTGCGCTGGCGTTTAGCAAAAGGGCCGTTTGTGCTTCCTTTGAAGGCTACGTTTTCAAGTATTCGTTGCTGTGTGCTAAGACTCCCTGATGAGGCCGCCGGGGGTCCAGGTGAAAGGCAAGCCCAAGGCAGGCGGAAGACAACAAGATGGCTGTCAGCCCCTGGCCCCCTCCCCTGCAGCCAGACTGACCCCAGCACAGCCGGTGCAGCGTCTGGGGCTGTGACCCCTGGGCGCTTCCTCCTGCCCTCACCCCTGCAGCGGGCGTCTCCCAGGGTCCGCTGTGGGGAGGGCGGCTGTGCCCCTGCGCAGCTCACGGCCGGGGAGCAGGCGCACACCCGGCCCCCTCGGGCCAGCGGCTGGCAGGACACGGAGCCCGAGGGCCGCGGCAGAGCCAGCACCACCTCCAAGTCAGGCTGCCCCTGCCAACCCCGCGGGACCCGGCCCTGAGGGTGCCCCATCCCCACGCCTGCTTGCTTCTGCTTCCCCTCCCCCACCCCACCCCGGCTTAGTGGCACTGGAGCCCCCTAGGCGCTCAGCTTCTGCCCCTCCTCCACCGTGGGCACCAGGAGAGGGGCGGCCGCCAGCTGCGTAGCGCCCCATGCGCGCCAGCGGGAAGCCGTCTCCTTCCTCTGCCCTCGCTGAGCTGGAGACAGGAGGGCACAGCTCCCTTTCCAGTGCTAGAAGTTGGAGAGACCCGGGAAGGGAGGCTGTGCACCCAGGGGGAGGGCGCTGGGCAGACTCAGCGCCCCAAGGCCCAGCTGCAGCCCCCACGCCTGACCTGGGTTCCCGGGGTCGCTCTCGAGGGCCCTGACGGCCTCTAAGAGTGCGCGGCGGGGGGCGGGGTGGGGGAGGCGGCGACCACCAGCCTGCGCTGGGGCGGGGCGGGGACCGCGGCTGGGGCCGCCTCTCGCCCCCGCCCACGCTGCTAGGCGCGGCCGCGCGGCGCCGGCTCGGTGGAAGCGCGCAGAGCCGAGAGGGCGCGGGCGCGGCGGGGCGCGAGGGAGGAGAGCGGGAGCGGGAGAGGCGAGCGCGCCGGGCAGCCGTGCGTGCGCTCTGCTCGCCGCCACCTGCTTGTCCGCGAAGCCCGAGCCCAGGACCAGCGCAGAGCCCAGAGGGAGCGTGGAGAATCGTGGGGTCTAGAGCCGGGGGCGCAGCCCGGAGCCCGGGTGGGCGTGAGCCGAGTTCCTCGGGGCGGCGCTTCCTGGCCAGACGGCACCCCGCTAGCCGGCCTCCCGCGCCCCCCGCCAGGGCTCCTTCTCATCCCTCCCCGCCTGGACTTCCAGCCCAGGGGCGCGGGACAGAGCCGCGGACCCGGCGCGCACCATGCGTCTCAACAGCTCCGCGCCGAGCGCTGCGGGCGCCGACCTCTTCCCGCGTCCGCAGGTGGGGCTGGACGCCGCGCTCCTGGCCCCGGGCTCGGGCAACCGCTCGGCCAACGCGTCGGAGCTCGCGCTGGCGGCGCCGGGCAGCCCCCTGGACGTGAACACCGACATCTACTCCAAGGTGCTGGTGACGGTCGTGTACCTGGCGCTGTTCGCGGTGGGCACGGTGGGCAACGCCGTGACGGCGTTCACGCTGGCGCGCCGGAAGCCGCTGCAGAGCCTGCAGAGCACCGTGCACTACCACCTGGGCAGCCTGGCGCTGTCCGACCTGCTCATCCTGCTGCTGGCCATGCCCGTGGAGCTGTACAACTTCATCTGGGTGCACCACCCCTGGGCCTTCGGCGACGCCGGCTGCCGGGGCTACTACTTCCTGCGCGATGCCTGCACCTACGCCACGGCCCTCAACGTGGCCAGCCTCAGCGTCGAGCGCTACCTGGCCATGTGCCACCCCTTCAAGGCCAAGACCCTCATGTCCCGCAGCCGCACCAAGAAGTTCATCAGCGCCATCTGGCTGGCCTCGGCGCTGCTGGCCGTGCCCATGCTGTTCACCATGGGCCAGCAGAACCGGGGCGCTGACCGCCAGCACCCCGGCAGCCTGGTGTGCACCCCCATCGTGGACACCGCCACCGTCAAGGTCGTCATCCAGGTGAGCAGCCTGTGGGGGGGGGGCGCTCCAGGCGGGGGTCTCTCCGGGGGAAGCCTGGACTCTGCCCCCAGGGGTCTTCCAGCCGCGAGGGGGCTGCGGAAGTCCACTCCCTGGAGGCTGGCGAGGACGGGCCGCCTGGGTAGCAGCCCGAGCCCTCTCCCCACCTCGCCCCGCGGAGCAGCCGGGCCTCGGCCCCGCTCCCCATCCCCACCCCATCAGCTCTACCGAGGGTGGCTGGACTTGGTCAGTGTCCGCCCTGGGCTCATGGGTGGGCCTCGGGTGGCCCTGAAGCAGTCCCTGGGGCCATATAAGGCCACGGTCTCGTCCAGCAGCTTCTCAAAGGCCTTGTGCCCTGGCAGGGGCTCTGCAGCCCCCCCCCCAGCAGCGGCACCCCCAGGCCGGCTTCCTCCGCGTCCCCTGGCTGCCCTGCCCAGCCCAGACTTGAGTCAGAGCTGAGCCTGACATCTTCTTGGGTTGGGTCTTACTCCAGCCTCAGTTTTCCTATCTGTAAAATGGGATGATGGCAGCATTCACCCTAGGTGGTAGTGCTCACGAGAACTCGTGGGACGTGTCTGCAGGTGCCTGGCACACAGAAACACCTGCTGGTGCTGCCGTCGCTGCCGACGGCAGCGGTGATGTCCCTGTTGGGACGATGGTAAGGCACCTGGATGTGTGTGGGGGGGTGGGGTCTTGCAGCCTGGAGGTGGGGGCTCACTGGCCTCCGTACAGCGCGGCAGGTCTCAGTGTGTGGCCCCGTGTGGGGCTGGGCAGTTCAGAGGGCAGGCAGCCTCTCAGAGGCCCAGCTCTGGCCCCGGTGCCACTAGGAACTGGGTGGCGGAGGACACGTGGGGTGCCCATGGCTTCCGGCGGGATGTCCCGTCTTTCCTTCGGCCGGCCCACAGGGGGCGCTGCCTGCATGAGCCCCTGCAGAGCTCAGGTGTCCCGGGCGCTGTGTGGCTTAGGGCCCGGGTGGTCAGTGGCCTGAAGGAGTGCAGCAGGTGGCAGAGAGCAGAGGCCCGGGTGGGGGAGCGTCTGGCTCACGTCCGACTGAGGCGGGGGCTGGCCCGGCACGGCCACCAGCTCTGCCCTCAGGGGCTCGGCGGGTGCCGCCCAGGCTCCAGCCCAGCCCTTGGACGCTCACTGACCCTGTATGGGCCCCGTTTACCTGGTCACTGAGTGCCTGAGCAGGAGCCAGGCTTGGAGGCCTGGAGGACTGTCCACGCATGTGCCCACGTGTACACGTGAGTGACGGGGTCTTCTGTCCACACCTCACCCTTTCCTTCAACCACGCCAAGGTGTCTGTGCCCCCAAGGCCACAGCTGGACCTCGACTACCCACTACCCCTACCCGTGCCCTGGGTGCCGTTGTCAGCCCCCGGGCAGCCTGGGGCTTCCAGCTCACTGCCCCAAGGCCGGCGGGGCCATTTGCACGCGGGGAGGTTCCCGGAGAGCAGGGGTGCTAGGCTGGGCGTCCCCGCCCGAGTCTGCCACCAGCCGCCAGCGGTCTTTGCTGTTCCGGCCCTGAGCGGCCCGGCCGCCCTGCCTCTCCCTTTTGTTCTGAGAGGTGCCCCCGCTGGGTGTGGCCCCTCACTGCAGGCAGGGTGAGCCCCGATCCGTGCAGGTGGAGCCGGCGAGCAGCTGGAGGGCCCGGCATGTCCCCCCGGACGGCTCCTGCCCCGGGGTCCTCGCCAGGGCTGAGTGCAGTTGGCTCGGGCGACGGCTGCCGCATGCCTTCCCCTGTGGGAAGCAGGAGCCGTGGGAGAGCAGGGGCGAGTGTCCGTGCAGACGGTGCTTTCTAGAAAACAACAGCCAAGCGAGGTGGGGGCTCCGTGCAGAAACCCACCCCACCCCCGCCCCGTGCCTGCTCGCCAGGGGAGCCCGGGGCACACCCCGCTGCCGCGCTGAGGCTGATGGGGGCGCGGTTCCCACTGCCGCCCCCGTCACAGCCCCAGGGCAGTCTCAGAGAAAAGGAACGGACCTGGGATCTGGCGGGGCCCTGCGTGCAGCCCCCACTCACCACCCCCCACTCACCGGTCACCACCCCACCCACCACCACCACCCACTACAGGGGCAGGGGTCCCCGTGAGGGTGCAGCCCCCACTCACCACCCAGACACAGGGGCAGGGGTCCCCGTGAGGGTGTGGCCCCCACCACCACCACCCACTCACCGGTCACCACCCCACCCACCACCACCACCCACTACAGGGGCAGGGGTCCCCGTGAAGGTGCAGCCCCACTCACCAGCCACCCAGACACAGGGGCAGGAATCCTCGTGAGGGTACAGACCCCACTCACCACCCAGACACGGGGGCAGGGGTCCCCATGAGGGTGTGACCCCCACTCACCACCCAGACACAGGGGCAGGGGTCCCCGTGAGGGTGTGACCCCCACTCACCACCCAGACATAGGGGAAGGGGTCCCCGTGAGGGTGTGGCCCCCACTCACTAGCCACCCGGGCTCAGGGGCAGGGGTCCCCATGAGGGTGTGACCCCCACTCACCACCCAGACACAGGGGCAGGGGTCCCCGTGAGGGTGTGGCCCCCACTCACCAGCCACCCGGGCTCAGGGGCAGGGGTCCCCGTGAGGGTGCAGCAGCAAATCCAGGCGGTGAGGAGCACCCCAGACACACCCCCCATTTCCAGAGAGCAGGAGGAGGGGGAGCCCAGGCACCCACCCCTCCTTGTACCGAGAAACAGGGAGAAAGTGCCGAGTCCGCAGAGAGCGCGCCGGCTGGGCGCTTGGTTGGCTGTGGGCTCGCGCTCGGCCTCAACCCGCTGCTGTGGGCGGGCTCTCCCCGGGGTTCGGGTCTCCCCGGGGTGCACGCGGTGGTGTCTGTGGTCAGGTGACCCAGGGTTGGCCAAGGGTCAGTGGCCGTGGGAGTCAGCAGGGACGGCTCGGGGCAGGGGTGTTCGCACTTCATAATTGAGGCGTTTTTCAAGCTCTGTGTCGAAGCCCGAGATTCGGCTGTGGGATCTCCGTTCAGACTGTGGACGGCGGTTACAAAGGGGCAGCGTGAAGGAGGGCGGGGACCCCGCCTGGCTTCCGGCCGGGTGGGCCCTCGTCCCCACACAGAGTGGACTCAGCCTGCTGGGGCGAGGTGGACACAGCCGGGGCGGGTGTGGGACAGACGGGGCAGTATCCCTGCCCGGATACGGGGCACGGAGCAGAGGGGCAGGCCAGCCGCGTGTGCCCACGCTGCAGATGGGCAGGCGTCAGGGCTGTGCTGGCCGCAGGCTGTGGCGTCCTGAGCATGCATTGTCTGCAGCAGCCAAGCAAGTCTTGGGGCCACACCACGGCAGTGGGGGTGCAGCCACCGTGCTCCCCGGGCAGGCGCCCTCCCCGAGCTGTGGCCTCCTGGGCTCGGGGAGCAGCCAGGAGCTCCTGCTGGTGTTGGAGCTTGGAGCCTGGCGCCACTCCTCAGCCGGCCCCCCGACGGGCAGGAGAGCAGAGACTGGCATGGCCAGCCCCTGGGCCCTCGCCGGACAGCCGGGCGGGCAGCGGAGGCAGAGGCTGTGGAGACCGCCTGAGAGGGCGTGTCCAGCTGTCCACACACGCAGCCGCCCCGGCGGAGCTGGTCCTGAGGGTGTGGCTGGCGGCATCAAGCTCTCACCGTGGGACCGTCCCCACCACCCCCCCATCCCGAGAGCCTCTGGTCTCCAAGGGCAGGAGCTCTGGGTCCAGCGGGTGACCCTGCCCCCCGCCTTCACTCCCCCATCCTCCCCCGACCTGGAATCGGAGCTTCTAACCCGGGGTCATGAACGTGCAGGGGCCAGGGGCCCACCCCACGCTGAGGGAAAGAGGCCTTGGATGCTGCCGGCTCCTCTGGAAAAGGCGGAGCCAGAGACGGGAAGTGGACGGCTGCAGGGCTGGCCGCCGAGGGGCCCTAGTGACAGCCGGGTGACAAAAATGCCCGGATCATGGTGGTAGGGAAGCCGCAGCACACACTAAGATCAGGGTGGACTCCATGTGTGCCCACTGGGGTGGACTCGGTGTGTGTGTGCGCTAGGGGTGGACTCCATGTGTGCCCACTAGGGGTGGACTCGGCGTGTGTGTGCGCTAGGGGTGGACTCCATGTGTGCCCACTAGGGGTGGACTCGGCGTGTGTGTCCACTAGGGGTGGACTCGGCGTGTGTGCACTAGGGGTGGACTCGGTGTGTGTGCACTAGGGGTGGACTCGGCGTGTGTGTCCACTAGGGGTGGACTCAGCGTGTGTGTGCACTAGGGGTGGACTCAGTGTGTGTGCACTAGGGGTGGACTCGGCGTGTGTGTCCACTAGGGGTGGACTCAGCGTGTGTGTGCACTAGGGGTGGACTCAGTGTGTGTGCACTAGGGGTGGACTCGGCGTGTGTGTCCACTAGGGGTGGACTCAGCGTGTGTGTGCACTAGGGGTGGACTCAGTGTGTGTGCACTAGGGGTGGACTCGGCGTGTGTGTGCACTAGGGGTGGACTCGGCGTGTGTGCACTAGGGGTGGACTCGGCGTGTGCCCACTAGGGGTGGACTCGGCGTGTGCCCACTAGGGGTGGACTCAGCGTGTGTGCACTAGGGGTGGACTCGGTGTGTGTGCACTAGGGGTGGACTCGGCGTGTGTGTCCACTAGGGGTGGACTCAGCGTGTGCCCACTAGGGTGGACTCAGCGTGTGCCCACTAGGGGTGGACTCGGCGTGTGTGTCCACTAGGGGTGGACTCCATGTGTGTGCACTAGGGGTGGACTCAGCGTGTGTGCACTAGGGGTGGACTCGGCGTGTGTCCACTAGGGGTGGACTCGGCGTGTGTGCACTAGGGGTGGACTCGGTGTGTGTGCCCACTAGGGGTGGACTCGGCATGTGTGCACTAGGGGTGGACTCAGCGTGTGTGCACTAGGGGTGGACTCAGCGTGTGCCCACTAGGGGTGGACTCGGCGTGTGTGTCCACTAGGGGTGGACTCGGCGTGTGTGTCCACTAGGGGTGGACTCAGCGTGTGCCCACTAGGGGTGGACTCGGCGTGTGTGCACTAGGGGTGG